AGGATTTGAATAAAATATGTTTGGTAGAGTATTTTGACCTTATTATTGGAGTTGAATAAATTGTTGAATATTTGTTTGGTATATTTTTTAAAATGATTTATTATTACAATATTTTGGTGCATTTTGTTAAAATAATTTATTATTATAACCTAAAAACTTATCAATTTACATTTTAATAATATTAAACATTTGATTGGTAATTTCATAACCACTAAATTAAAAAAAAAAAAATCTCATATTAATTTCAAGTACTAATCCAACTATTTGAAAACACCATATTAATACATATATAACAAAGCTACTAATTATCAACCCTTAGAATCGTTTGTACACCTATACTCTATTAAAAAGTACGACATGGTCATATGTGCTGCCCACATTTCAGTCGTTATATTATCCTGTAGAGTCGTCATGTCGTCTATAATACCTTGCTGTGGTTGACTCGATCTGTCTGCATTTTCGCCATCCTCTACCCGTTTTGGCAATCAAAATATACTTGCTCATTACCCGTATTTTCAGTATACCATTAGAAGATAGGGTCCTCTATATTGTACATTCTGATAAAATTATGAAGTACACAACATGCCATAATAATCTTCCCTTGTTTGTCCAACATGTAATTGTTCATTCCATTGAGAATAAAGAACCTTTTTTTTTAAAACACCAAAGGTTCTCTCGACAACATTGCAGAGTGATGCATGTCTGTAATTAAATAACTCTTGTGGCCCCCTCCGATTACGGCAGTGATCATGAATATGGAAAGCCACTCACCTATGAGGAGCGAGGAACTCCTCTCTATTTGGATAACCCGCATCAACCAAATAATACTTTCCTGTAATAAAATCACACATGTTATTTGAATTCCAGGGCCTCAAAAATGGAGTCAATATGCTATAATAAGTAAAGAAGATACTTATATCTGGTGGAGGATGTGGGAATCCAGAATTACGATAATCAAGGACTGAATTTAAAACTCTTGAATCATGCACAGATCCTTCCCACCTAGTGACGACATAAGTGAATATCATCCTAAAGTCGCATACAACCATTACATTCTATGACAACATTCCTTTGCAATTTCGGTACCTATCGCCCAACTCCTATGGAATTGAAGCATAAACATGTGTGCCCTCAATTGCTCAAATACAATCCTATCATCAAAATTGAATTTTAGTAATATTAACCGGCTATCAACATTAATAACACAATGAATTTAACTACCCACTAATATAAAACATAATGAAGAAGTACCTTAAAGAAAGGGTAATTTTTTCGATTGGTCGATATTTCTAGTGGAACATCACTGAAGTTGGGTTGCCTGATAAACTCTGTCTTCAACTCACATATTGCCTCGCAAACTTAGCCACATATCTGGAGATCGTCTCACCTGAATGTTGGAAATCCTCTATCATCGTTTTGATTGTCTCCTTTTTACCTATGATTGCCAAAAATATCATGACTTGTTCTTCAATACTCATCCTCCTAGTTGCTCGCAATTTCCTTTGCTGTGCTAAAATGTAACATAAGTTTGTAAAACAGTCTTTGTCCATGTAGCACTTTTCAAAGATTTTTTCATCATGACCATTTAGTACTTCCAACATGTAATAATGACCAGTTAATATGGATGTATGTCGTAAGTGACGCCCATCTGTTTCCAACACAACAACAGTGCATAGTCCAACTATTATATCTGTCAGTATTTCTTCTTCGTCATCTGCGGTACTTCGTCTTCTTCCTATACACCTAGACGACGCCATTTAAACCTGTATATTTGTAAAACATTAATTATTATTTAACAGTTGTTCTAGTACTTAGCAAAATATAACATTCAATTTTTAATTCTAATTACAATCCCAAACTCATATGAAACATGTTATCTCACATAAAACAATAGCACAATGAATAAGTTCATACAGTAGCAGACATTTGGGTACATTTTTCAAATCAAGGTGCTGAAAAAAAGTTTGGGTTAGCCGTTAAAGGAATAAGTGCCCACTGGTGCATACAAAACTGTGGCCAAACACTTAAGACATATAGGGTCATCTACAAATTGCGAAAGTCGTTATAAATCCAATTAGTCTTTTCCTCGGGTGGAAGTTTTATGAATACCTCCTGCCACCCTGGATTTTGATATAAGTACTTGACAATCGGCATGTAAAACTCTGTGGGTACTTGCATGGCCGTCAAAACGTCAATACAATGGCTCATGGAAAACAGATCAGATGGAGCACTGGTGTTCTCTTTGTCCCCCTCATCTCCATTACGATTGCTAGCCCTCGATCCTATACTCCTCTCCACAAGCACGTTCGTCAATCTGCCAATGACATCCACAAGTGCTTGTCTTGGGCCCCTTCTCTTCCTCCTATTTGTCAGTCTTGCATGACCAGATGTGTTTGACTGTTTTTCCCTATCGTCTGATCCAGATCAGGTTTGAAGTCACTATCATCAATGTCAACCGGTCCCTGATTGAAAGAAGTGAAGTTCTCCACAGGTTGAGACGTAGATGTGTACGCATATCTCTTTGTGGTAGTTTGCTTCTCAAATATGACTTCATAAAGCTCCTTGTGAGGAAGTCCCTTGTGGAAGAATTGTTGCGCATGTGGGTTTTGCTGGTAATGAAAAATAAACATATATTAATATTTGTCAATCCCAAAAATTTTTTGTAAAAGTACAGTGTCGTAGATTAATATGAATTTAAAATTTTGAAATTTACCTTGATATATTCTTGCCAAACCTGTAAGGGACATGTTGGAGTTTGCGACTCATGATCCCAACCAAAGCCCATGTGTTGAAACAATTTTCGCCATCCTTGATATACTTTTCTCAGGTGAAAATACTTAGAGGCTAGTTGTGTCACATTAAGTCTCCTCCCAACCAATGATGATAAGTCATCCAACATATCCTAGTAATCTATTGTTTTTATTGAAGTACCGTGGGAAATTTTCTCACGCTCAGACAACAGAACCAGAAATTTATGGGTCATCTTAGCGAACCAATTGACATTATCACTCATCTAATAATAGTACGGTGAGAATGACAACCAAGATTGGGACACCATAATAATCAGCAAACAATTACCAACACACAAACGCACATTTAAACCTCATAAACTAAACATAGATAAATTGTTACCTCGTTCGATCCAACACTACTTGAAGTCTTCAATGCAGGGGAAGCTAGGGGCAATGTTGACCAACAGGGTGTATGACGAACTCCAAGTCTGGAAAAACGTCGAAACTTCATCTTTTGCTGAAAGTAGTAATCGATCCTACAATGGCAGGCCAAATTGTACTGACTTTTGTTCATATAATTGTAATTTGTTCTTACGATCAAATAACAATGCCGAATCTGCCCAAAATTTCTAGTAACTATGGTTAACTAACTATAGTTGAGAGTAACTATAGTTGAGAGTAACTATAGTAACCAATTCAACTAACTAAACTAATTACTCTTAACCATATACAGTCATATTAACTACAACCTAACCAACTACAAATAAAACACAAACAACTAATGAAATTCATACATTGCATTGCGTACAAGTAAAACATAAACAAATATAATACAAATGTAAAATAAAACAATTATAAAATAAACCCTAAACAAAGATTAAACTAATGTGAAACAAATGCCTCCTAAGACATAAACCAAATCAGGGACCTAAACCAAATCAGCGTGCTGAATTGTTTGGGTTACCTCTTAACAAATCATTCAGATAGGAGGTGTGGGGTTGGAGGAGGGTGGTTGACGGTGGGTTAATGAAGTAGTTAAACAACGTCGTTGATGCTTAAAGAATGTGGTGGCTTCGAGTTCGATAAGCTCTCGTCGACGATGGTGGTGGAATTGGTGCTCATTAAAGAAGCTGCTAGACTTGGGTTGGGGGAGGTTTCACCGACGATGGTGGTAGATCTAGGCTCATATGCGCCAGTGGTGGCGCTCAAAAGTGGTGGCTGTTGAAGGTGGTGGGCTCAGATTGGAGAAGAAAACCTTTTTTACTAGTGGATCTGGAGTCCTGTCAACACCGGAGGTGGCGCTCGAAGGTGGTGGATAATGATGGTGAAATGATTTGCTTTGGGTTCTTAGTCTGTGACTATGGTGTGGAAATGTTATCTGTAATTGTTTCTTTTTCCTCGGTAGATCATGAATGTGTTTATGTCCAGATCGGGGGTGCTTTGGATATGGGCTGGTGTTTGTTGTTGGTAGGCCGGGTGTGTGGATTTTGGCTTCAATTTTTCAATCTGTCGAGGTTGGCAGTGGGATGTTTTGTTGTTGTCCTCTTCCGCTAGTGGTTGCTTTTTTTTTTTTTTTTTTTTTTTTTTGCTAAATATCGTTGTAGGAGTTTCAAGTTCTTTGGGTGTTGAGTTTGAATGCAAGGGGAAGATGATCTAGCTTTGGTTGTAACGTGGAAGATGGTGACTGTTGGGGATGACGATTTGGATTTCCTGATGCCGATGGTGGTTTCAAGTTAAGGGTGGATTTCTAAATGCCTCAAAATGTGTTAGCATGGTGAAGGAAGAAGAAGAAAATAAGGAAGAGAGAGGAAAAAAAAAAAAAACCCGCTAAGCTTTTGTCAGAATGGTCATTTTGTGCATTAGGAATCAATTTTTTAGAATTTGATTCTCTGAGCACTGAAACAAACGTTTTTTCGCTAGATCCAATTCCAAATACAAATACAAATAGGGAACCAAACGCAAGTGTCAAAGTGATAGTATACTGTTAAAGTAGAATATAGATAAATATTTCGCATTTATAATAAGATAATGAAAATAAATATATTGTTATTTTCAGATACTATGTTTAAAAATAATAATAACATTTCTCAAACTATAACACAAGAACATTATTATGTTCAACGCTGGAAGCTTTCTTTCTAAAGCAACAGCTTTGGAACTTCAAAACCTCGACATGTAAATTCTTAATGTTCTGCGTACTCTGTAGGTATGAAACAAATACCACATTCAAAGGAGTCCAGGTCCAAGTGATCCGGAGCTTGGTGTTGGCTAACGTGAAGAAGGGAACGGAAGTGGATCAGCACCCTGATCCTTAGACTCCCCAGAGCCACTGGAATCTTCAATGAGTTTGGAAGCAGCATCAGACGAATCCTTTGAGTACTTATCCCGCTTCAGAATCGTCCGCGCCAGGATTAAAGCCTTTTGTTCAGACCTAGAAGCTTTTTGCTCTAAAGCAATGGCTTGGTTCTTCAAAACCTCATTCTCTGCTTCATTACGGATCAGTTCAGCCTCCAGGAATAGAGCCTTCTGTTCGGAGCTGGAAGCTTTTTGCTCTGAAGCAATAGCTTGGTTCTTCAAAGCCTCATTCTCTGCTTGCTTCTTGATCAGTTCAGCCTCTAGGAATAGAGCCTTCTGTTGGGAGCTGGAAGTTTTTTGCTCTGAAACAATAGCTTGGTTCTTCAAAGCCTCATTCTCTGCTTGGTTCTTCAAAGCCTCATTCTCTGCTTGCTTCCTGATCAGTTCAGCTTCCCGGAATACAGCCTTCTGTTGGGAGGTGGAAGCTTTTTGCTCTGAAACAATAGCTTGGTTCTTCAAAGTCTCATTCTCTGCTTGCTTCTTGATCACTTCAGCCTCCAGGGATTCAACTCTAGAGTTATGATCCACCTCAGATGATTCATAACTCTTCAGCTTTGCCTCTGCTTCTGTTAACTTACTAGAACTTAAGGTAACCTCAGCGCTCAGATTGGACATTCTGCTCTCTAACATCTTCAAAAATGCATATAAGACTACCTTGTCCTGGGAAAAGCAGAATATGAAATGGAAAGTTGAAAGAGAAGAGAATAAACAGAAGAAAATGGACTATGTATTAACCCGAACAACGGAAACTTCAGAAGGCACAGATGCCATCAACTCATCTGATAAATCATTTTTCAAATCCTTCATTCCTGTGGAGCGGAGACTTTTAGATAGCTCTAAAGCAGCAGCTAGATTCTCCAATATGTTCTGCAAACCTATCTGTTCCACTTGACGATTAAAATTTTCCCCAAGCCTAGTGAGAGACATGATGACCTCACTGGTGGCCTCCTCAGCACCCTTCTTTCCAGCAGGAGTTTCTTTTTCAATTCTTTCAACGTTCTGAGAGGAATCAAGTAGAAATTTAAATCTCTTTGCACGAATAAGACGTTTTAAATCTCATTATAGAAAACTTCAGACCTTGTATATCTTACGATAGAAAACTTCTAGCAACCGGAGTTCTGCATCAGGATGAGACAGCTCCACCTGCTCCAGAAATTTAGATTTAAGTGAAAAAGCGAAGCACAAACAGATTCTGCCGAAAAGCAGGAAAAAGGCTCAACATCTTTTAAGAGTAACTTAAGAAATTGATCAGCATACTCACTTCACCCTTCATATCATGATGAAATGCTACTTTAAGAAATTTCAGACTTTCTAATTCTGGCAGAGGAATGTCCAATACTTCATAGTACAATATATCAGAAGTCTGTCCAAGAACATGATGAGAAAAAGCATAATATTACATTTCCATTAAATTTCAACATCCCACATTAACTAGGACCATGAGTACTACCTGGTCGTGTTGAATCAGCATATCCGCCAAATGATCAACGCCACGGTACTTAATAGGTTGAGGTTTGGGTTGCTGAGAGTAGGAGTTATGTGATGTAAGCCTGATTTTGGATGGATCATCCAAATTCAATATCTGAGCTACTCTTTCTACAACAACATCATACGTAAAAAGCTTTGACCTTGACTTTCAAAACACAATAGCATCAGATACAATTACTCGGAAATAAACATATACATAAAATAATGCACAATCAAAAAGATAAATCTGCAGTGAAATAACAGAGTTCAAGTTCATCTAATATTAAGCCCTTACATCTCTAGACAAAAATCATCTTCCTTCGGCTTTTCAAGAGATCGGAAGTGAACAACCACCTACCACAAAATCATGTAAAATTTAGCAACGTTAAATGATGAGTTGATGAATACCAGATAATTATAAAAAAATAAACCCAATGTCTAGGGATGACAAGGAAGATGTTCACTACAAAAAAGCAAAGAGATAAATCACAAATGTAGGGAGATTGTAAACCAATAATAAAACAAAATGAATATCAAAGAAAAGTTAGTTTTCTGAATACAATAGGAACCATGGAGGTGTACCTGTTGATTATGCACATAGTCCAAAAATGAAGGAACATTTGGATAGCGATATTGTTCAGCACTTTCAACTGTATGAGATTTTTGAAAGCAAACAATATCTCCATCTATAAGCTGCAACAGAGACAATGCCGGAGTTAAACATTATCACAGGGAAAACAATTCACACCATGTTTGTTATGCATAACATTTACCTTGCTAGCTCGAAATGTATTTTTCTTTTCAATGGGTGTGCATATCACAATGGGCTCAAACCTAAGTTCCTGAATATCAAAACATGAGTAAGCTACCATCCTCAAAATAATGCATACAACCATGCAAATTTAAATATGACATGCTAATTCCTTATCAAATGAACCGACGTTCCAATACAACCTCTAGAATGGACTTAAACCACAAAATCCAGTCACTAGAGATCTTAGCTCTCAGACAATATTAAAAGTCAACCCTTAATTCACCAGTCACTCCAAATAACCAAAGCATGGAGAGATAGACAAGTGGACCTGAGACAAGTTGCATACCAGCAAGGACCCTACACACTCTATGGCAGAGAGCACCTAATTATCAAGTACCCTACTCACCCTGTTATTTTCCTTTGTGGATGCAGGATCTAGGTGTTGATGCAGTCGGAGGGGCGTCGGCAAGCGAGGAGCAATAGCTACACTGTTTCCCCTGTTTTGTCTTTTAAAATGAATTTTTGTAAACAGTACTCTTTGTGTATAAAAGACATATGAATTATAATGAAAAGAAAACTTTGGGCCCAATTTTCTATTGTAATTATGCATGCATTGTACTAGTTTTCAGCAGTTGTTACAAAACTGCATATCAATATTTGTTTTCCTTTGTCATCACTGAAATTGAATTGCTTTTATATGTGTGATGATAAAATGAATGGTTCGGCTGCAGATCTATAGTTATCCAAATTCATTGTATAATATATAAAATTAAAGCTCTATCTTTCTGGTTTTCAAAGATTTAAACTGATTATCAATTGGATTTTTATTAAGTAAGTTATGACCAATTTACTACTAATTATTCAGTGGAAATTGATAAACAGGTGAAATCGAAATATGTGTGATGATAAAAGGAATGGTTCAAAAGTAAGGCTACATTCATCCAAATTAAGTGTATAATATATAAAATTAAAGAACTATCTGTCTAGTTTATAAATATTCAAACCTCTCATCTATTGGATTTTATTGAGCACGTTATAGTCATTTTACTATTGACTATTCAGTGGAAACCGAAATGTTTGATGATAAAAGGAATGGCTTGGTAGTAGGGCTACAGTTATCCAAATTAAGCGTATAATATGCCAAATTAAATCTTTGTATGTATAGTTTCTAAAGATTCAAACCTCTCATCAATTGGAGTTTTATTTGGCAAGTTATGGTCAATTTACTATTGACTATTTAATGGAAACTGAAATGTGTGATAATAAAAGGAATGGTTTGGAAGTGGGGCTACAGTTATCCAAATTAAGTGTATAATATACCAAAGTAAAGCCCTATATGTCTAGTTTTTAAATATTCGAACATCTCATCAATTGGAGTTTTATTGAGCAAGTTATAGCTAATTTACTACTGACTGTTTAGTGAAAATTAAGAAACAAGGGAAACCAAAATGTGTGTGATGATAAAACGAATTGTTTGGCAGTGGGGATACAGTTATCTAAATTAAGCATATAATATATCAATTTAAAGCCATGTCTTTCTAGTTTCTAAAGATGCAAACCTCTCATCAATTGGATTTTTATTGAGCAAGTTATGGTCAATTTACTACTGACTGTTCAGTGGAAGTCAAAATGTGTGTGATAATGAAAGGAATGGTTCGGTAGTGGGGCTACAATTATCCAAATTAAGCGTACCATATATCAAATTAAAGCACTGTCTATCAGATTTTTATTGAGCAAATTATGGCCAAGTTATTATTGATACTTCAGTGGAAACTGAAATGTGTGTTTTAAATAAATGAAATTAGTTATATTCAGCAACAACTCCTTTTCATGATATATGTATGTAACAAAAAATACATCAACAAAAAGAGATAGAACAATTACAGTTAAAACTACATATCAGTATTTGTTTTCCTTTAAGGATAATAATAATGGTTTAGCATATTATAAATTGTTTACTAAAGCTACATAGTTCGGCAACAAACATCAGATGATACTTGTGATACAAATAAAATTTGCTATAATCAACAACAACTTGTTTTCGATATATGTATATAACATATATATATTATAATATATATATATATATATATATTAACAAAAAGAGATAGAATAAGTACAATTAAAGCTACATATCAATATTTGTTTTCCTTTGTCATCATTAAAATTAAATTGGTTTTATGTGAGTGACGATAAAAGGAATGGTTCAAAAGTGGGGCTACATTTATCCGAATTAAGTATATAACATATCAAATTAAAAAACTATCTGTCCAGTATCTAAATATTCAAACCTCTCATGAATTAGAATTTTATTGAGCAAGTTATAGCCAATCTACTACTGACTATTTAGTGGAAACCGAAATTGTGATGATAAAAGAAATAGTTTGTTATTGGGGCTACAGTTATCCAAATTAGGCGTATAATATGTCAAATTAAAGCTCAGTGTGTATAGTTTCTAAAATTCTAAACCTCTCATCAATTGGAGTTTTGTTGAGCATGTTATGGTCAATTTATTTTTGAGTGTTTAGTGGAAACAGAAATGTGTGTAACGATAAAAGGAATGGTTCAGCAGTGGGGCTATAGTTATCCAAATTAAGCATATAATATATTAAATTAAAACCTTTTCTTTCTAGTTTTTAAATATTTAAATTGCTCATCAATTAGATTTTTATTGAGCAAGTTATGGCTAATTTACTACTAACTGCTTAGTAGAAATCGAGAAACAGGGGAAACTAAAATGTGTGTGATGATAAAAGGAATGGTTTGGTAGTGAGGATACAGTTATCCAAATTAAGTGTATAATATATCAATTTAAAGCCATGTCTGTCTAGTTTCTAAAGATGCAAACCTCTCATCAATTGGATTTTTATTGAGCAAGTTGTGGTCAATTTACTACTGACTGTTCAGTGGAAGTCAAAATGTGTGTGAAGATGAAAGGAATGGTTCGACAGTGGGGCTACAATTATCCAAATTAAGCATACAATGTATCAAATTAAAGAACTGTCTATCGGATTTTTATTAACAAGTTTTGTTCAAGTTACTACTGATTGTTCAGTGGAAACCGAAATGCGTGTGTTAAATAAATGAAATAAGTTATATTTAGCAACAACCTCTTTTCATGATATATGTATGTAACGTAAAAAGATATCAACAAAAAGAGATAGAATAATTATAGTTAAAACTGCATATCAATATTTGTTTTCCTTTAAGGATAATAATAATGGTTTGGCATATTATAAATGGTTTGCTAAAGCTACATGGTTCGGCAACAAACATCAAATGATACTTGTGATACAAATAAAATTTATTATATTCAACAACAACCTGTTTTCAATATATGTATATAACATAAAAAAATATCAACAGAAAGAGATAGAATAAGTACAATTAAAATTGCATATCAATATTTGTTTTCCTTTGTCATCACTGAAATTTAATTTGTTTTATGTGTGTAGTGATGAAATGAATGGTTCATCAATAGGTCTATAGTTATCTAAATTCATCATATAATATATCAAATTAAAGCTCTATTTTTCTAGTTTCCAAATATTCAAACCGATCATCAATTGGGTTTTTATTAAGTAAGTTATGACCAATTTACTACTAATTGTTCAGTGAAAATTGATAAACATCTGAAATCAAAATGTGTGTGATGATAAAAGGAATGGTTAAAAAATGGGGCTACATTCATCCAAATTAAGTGTATAATATATCAAATTAAAGAAATGTCTGTCTAGTTTCTAAATATTCAAACCTCTCATCAAATGGAGTTTTATTGAGCAAGTTATGGTCAATTTACTACTGACTATTTAGTGGAAACTGAAATGTATGATGATAAAAGGATTGGTTCAGAAGTGGGGCTACAGTTATCCAAATCAAGCGTATAATATACCAAATTAAAGCCTTATATGTCTATTTTTTAAAGATTCAAACCTCCCATCAACTAGAGTTTTATTGAGCAAATTATGGCTAATTTACTATTGACTGTCTAGTGAAAATTGAGAAACAGGGGAAACCAAAATGTGTATGATGGTAGAAGGAATGGTTCAGCAGTGGGGATAAAGTAATCCAAATTAAGCATATAATATATCAATTTAAAGCTCTGTCTCTCTAGTTTCTAAATATGAAAACCTCTCATCAATTGGATTTTTATTGAGCAAGTTATAGTCAATTTACTACTGACTATTTAATGGAAGCCGAAATGTGTGTGATGATGAAAAGAATGGTTCCGCAGTTGGGCTACAGTTATCCAAATTAAGCGTACAATATATCAAATTAAAACACTGTCTATTTAATTTCTAAAGATTCAATCCTCCCATCAATTGGATTTTTATTGAGCAAGTTATGGTCAAGTTACTACCGATTATTCAGTGGAAACCAAAATACTTGTGATATAAAATGAATGATTTACTTTACCCAAATTTAAGGAATTATCATATTAGGACTGATAAGAAATATTTCAAATAACACCTATTAATTGGAAAACAGAATCAGCCAAAATTAATTCATTTAACATATATACTCGCACATCAGTAGGACATAAACAATTAATCATTCCTATAACAAATTAAAATACACAAATGTTTTTTTAGAAAACATACTCAACACAAATGAACTGTTTCTGCTAATATAGATATGACACAAACTCACAGTTCAGCTGACAATAGGATCATCCACGATTTGATCTTAGTAAAGTACATGAACATTTCCTTGAAAACAAACATAACAAAATTTAATCGATCTTTATGTTAAGATTGTTAAAGAACAATTATTCATTCGTATAACAACTGTTACCTAAAAACGAAATCAACAAAAGTTAATTAATCTTCATGTTAAAATCGTTAAGGAATACACTTACCGTTCGACAAGATTAGCACAATTAATCATTCAAATAGATTGACCGAACAAAAAAAAAAAATCATTCATCTAATAATAACCGTTAAAATAGTTAGAAAATATACTTACAATTTCATATTAAAATAGTTAGAAGATATAATTACAATTCAGAAGAACGAATCAAAATAATAACTCATTTGACAATGTCAATTGGACATCCTCCATTTATTCCATGCCAATTCATGAATCTTTGACTTGTAAACAACAACAAAAACATAAACA